CAATGTCCAGATGGAAGACTAGGGGGCATTGTGCTTTTGCTATTGCTCCACCTAAACTTTGGAATAGCCTGGCGATTGATGTCCATCCATTGGAATCCATTCAATAATTCAAGTCACGTTTAAAAATCCACCTGTTTAAGCTGGCCTTCGACACAAATTCGATTTTAACTTCTACCCGTATCAAGTTTGTGCCACGCCACTTACCTTTAACTATTCTGTAATGATAATTGTATTTTTTTTTGTTCTTCTATTGTTGTAATCCCGCAATGCGGCACTTGTGTGAAAATTGAATTGAAACTGAGAAAAAGTTACAAAAATCTCAGTTTAAGTTTTTATATTTTAAACATTTCTATTTCTTGAAAGAATATTACAAGGAAGTTCATAATGAAGATGTCATGGTCCTGAGTCTGTGACTCCGTGTTTATGTTTCAGTTTATTATTATTCTGTGGTTTTGGTTTCCTTGGGTGTTTGTACTCTGTGTTTGTACTGTGGTCAGTTTACTTTCCCCTGTCTCGTCAGGTCGGATTACTCCCAGCTGTGCCCTCCTTTTGTGTCTCGTTCCCTTGTTATCCTTCTGTGTTTTTAAACCTCGTGTCTGCCTCTGTTAGTTGCTGGTTCGTCTGTGTTGTTCCCCTCGGTCTTCCTGCGTCTCTCCGTCCGTCTCTCTGTGTATTTCCCCATACCTCCCTGCATCTTCGTTCTGGTTTGTTTTGTTAGTTTTGCCCAATTTAGGTTTTCCAGTTTCATGTTCACCCGCCACTTCTGTTTGTATCTACTCCTGTTCAATAAATACTCACCTGCATCAGAGATGCTTCAACTCCAGAAGTCCGCCACCCTGGACGCGACAGAAGATGAGGATGGAGAAGAGGATGATGAGGATATGGATGAAGATGATGTATGGGACAATGAGCAGGGCACTAAAAAAAACGACGATAAAGAAGCTACACAGGTTTATATCTCTTCTGAAGAAGAAGAGAGTGAGGAAGATCATGTTAAAGATATAGATGACGATGGAGAAGAGGAAGATGAGGATATGGATGCAGTTGATGTTGGTAACGATGAGCCTAGCACTGAGGAAGATGAGGATGAAGAAAGTGATAATGAGGAGGATGAGACTGTGCCTGCTGTTGCCTCTAACCATACTGGCAGCAATGGTATCAAAGGTGACATTTCCAATATATTTCCTATTGGTATGTTTGGATAACAAAGACCTTGTTTGTGTATGAAAATAACTCTTCCTCTTTTTTCAGACAGAGTAACAAGTACAATTCCAACACCTGGAAAACATGCATTACAGATGAAAGAGGTAAAGGGTATTGTTAACATCCCTCCTGAGGCAAGACCGATTATTTTATTTAAATGATTCACTGTGCTTTACATTGCTGGAAGCTTTGAATATGTCACTGATCTGAGATTACTCTACACCAGTCATTAAGCTAGAAATGTGGCAAATACTATGGTTCAGCATGACATACAAAACTACAAAATTACAAATGTATGCTTTACCCCATCCAGTCCAATTATTCATAATAAATACTAAAATATTCTTCATTGTTTTTAAAACAGAAGAGTACACATCATCCTGACATGCCAAGATCTGAAGTCATTGGAAATAACAGAGATGTGGCACAAAACACAACAATCAAACAGCTGAATGTTAAGAAAGAACCTGAAGAGAAACTGAGTGAGTTGTTCAAACACTAAAAGCGCTTGATTTACATTTTTACATTTACAAATGTTTTAGCACATGTGTCCACACAGATAACTACTATAGTAGTTTTGTTTGCAGTTTGAATAAGTATTATTTACTTTCCAAAAGACACTAAACAGCCATTTTATTTGGTACACCTGTCCCATCCATCCATCTTCTTCCACTTATCCGGGGCCAGGTCACGGGGGCAGCAGCCCAAGCAGAGAAGCCCAGACC